AAAATAGTTTAAAAAATGAATTGTGCAGAATTGTGACATAAGTGACTTAAGTCCGCTGCATGTGCAGCATGTACAGATGCGACAGGACGAATTGATTATATGTCATTTGGTGGCTTAGTGAATTTTTGCCTCCATGAGTGAAATAATTTTTTAATGGGTTCTAGATTGTTAAATTAACCACAGCTGACCATTCCTCTGCAGTCTAGAAGCCAAGAGGTGAACATGTTCTCTGGAAGGAGTCTTGGCATCTTCAGAGGTCTCCAATGACACCACAAAAAGTCATTCGATTTTATTGCTTTTCAAAGTGACTTGCTCTGGGCTTGTGAAAGTCACCAAACAGACCAGAAAACTTGCTCAATTGGTCACACTGAATATCCGCTTCTTTTGTTTGTTTTATTGTAATGAGGGAAGAAAAAAAACTGAGCAGTTTCAAACATCAACTCTGATCGACATGAACACCTGAAGCACATGAATTCACACCTCCAAATCCAAGCTGGAACCTTATTACATTGTAGATGACCTACCCGAGCTATCTCCAGGAAACAAATCCACAATTTAATCCGACGGTGTCGCTTCCCGCACCAACTGCGTTTGATTTAACGCAGCTTCTGCTATGTTTGTGCAGCACCAGTGTTACCCAACTGGGAAAGTCAGCAGGCACATTTGAAGTGATGACATTCAGTCCAGCCGCTGTCGTTGAAAGCATGAATGAGACAAGGTGGATGACCCCAGGTTGGAATTTCAAAATTATAACAGCCTCGTCCATAATGAGATGATTTTGTTAACCGGTGACATCATTATGTAGTCAAAAGTCACATCAGACAACCGGGTTATTGAATCTAGGAAAATATGTTTTTTGCTATCGAAGTGGAGGCAGAAGCGTAGTGGTAGCCCACATACTTTTTCATCTTTATTGATTTCGTCATCTCCAGAATAATGATTTTCAATTCATGTGTTGACTGTGAAAGCGCTAGACAAAATAAAGACGTCTTGTATCGTATTTGACTTCACTAATGTGATTATCTACGGGTGTTAAATTCAAAGGCCACTCAACGTCTTTGATGTTGAAAACATTTCAGCTTCTCTCAAAAGGCTTCTTCAGTTGTCTCTGCAGCTACATCAAGCCACACGACAGCAAGCAGGCCGAATTTGGAGATTTTTCCCTCCCTTGGAATCAAAGTCGGCAATTTTTAAGATTGGCAAGAACCATTCTAATAGTTTTCGTTTTATTTTTTTTACATCGTCTCAACTACAGCTAGAATGCAAACATCTAAAGCAGACTAACTTGCTTTTTTTATATGTCACTGTCATTGTTTAAATCGGTTGGACGGACGAACGGGAGCGCAGGCGGACTGATAGATAGATGGATAGATGGATAGAAAGCCCAAGGCACATGATAGATAGATGGCAGAGAATTGAATCGTCGTGCCATAGCCGCACTTACACAAGGAATGGCTTGGTTGACCCCACACCGCACTGTGCTAAGTGCAGTGTGAAAAGGCCTTGACCCTGCAATTCAGATGGGACAGACTCCAGCTCACCCACAACTTAAATGTTGAAAAGTGCTATAGAAAAACGATGTATGAACGTTGGCTCCCCCAGCTTTATTAAATATGAAGTACTTATCAGCATTTGTCCAATACATTCTCATTTACGTTTAAAACCTAATACTGAGGGGAGTGCAGTTGGTTCGTGTTAAAAACAGCTTGTCATGGTCATGACGCACATGCACATATCCAGTGTCCAGAGAGACTATGATGGATGTTCCAACCCGCTGCTGGTGTCCGTCACCGGCGAGCATGATCCTGCTGCAAATGACAGCTCACAATAAACATTGCTTTGCTTTGACTCGCCTTTTGGGTAAATTGTGCAAATGATAACACTCCATCTGTCATCTCCCAACATCACTTCTAAAATATTCCATCCATCCATCCATTTTCTGATCCGCTTATCCTCACAAGGGTCGCCAGGGGCAGGGGACACCCTGAACTGGTTGCCAGCCAATCGCAGGGCACACACAGATGAACCACCATCCGCGCTCACACTCACACCTAGGGACGATTTAAAGTGTTCAATCAGCCTGCCATGCATGTTTTTGGAATGTGGGAGGAAACCGGAGTACCCGAAGAAAACCCACGCAGGCCCGGGGAGAACATGCAAACTCCACACAGGGAGGCCGGAGCTGGAATTGATTCTAAAATATTGTATTCATAAAAATGATATACAATGTACAGTATATAAATCCCATCTATTTTTAATCCACTTATCCCCAAGAGGATCACGGGCATCCTAGAGCCTACCCCATCTGAGTTTGGGCAGTAGGTGAGGTACACCCTGAACCAGTTGCCAGCCGATCGCAGGGCACACGTAGACGAACCACCATCCACGCTCACACTCACACCTAGGGACGATTTGAAGTGTTCAATCAGCCTGCCACGAATGTTTTTGGAATGTGGGAGGAAACCGGATTACCCGGAGAAAACCCACTCAGGCACGGGGAGAACATTCAAACTCCACACAGGAAATCCGGAAGCCGGAATCGAACCCTGCACCTCTGGACTGTGAGGCAGACGCGCAAACCAGGCAACCACAGGGCCGCCCCTTTTTATCATATGTATTTCTAAATACAATGTAATTGCAACAGATGTAGTAGGTGGCAAAATGAAGAAAGTTGGCTAAGTAGTTAGAGAGTGATGGGTCGGTCTCTAATCTGTTGTTCGTGAGAGACAGGTGTGTTGGTAGTGAGGGAGAGTGTCTTACCAAGACTCGCCAGTGGTCTTTTAAAAGCAGTTGAAAATCTGTCAGCGTAAGAGCGCTTGTCACCACATGGGTGGCGCCAGTGTCGCTTCCTTTCATATGACAGCAGGGGTAGAGTGGCAGCACCTGTGCACTACCGAGTGTCTACTCGGCGCAAATGCAAACAGCCCGGCGGACACGTCTGCTGTCGGCTCTGCTGCTTCGCACCCTCCTATCACCTCTGCTCCCGCGAGTCTTCATTCATTGTCTTTTCTGTCTGACGACCGCGACCTCTCAAAGATGAAACAGGGCCGCAACCGCTGCTTGTTTTCTAACACAGAAACACACAACATATCCTCGGTGAACATTCACATAATATAAGTCACGTTGCTGTGACTGAACAAATGATGTGCTTTCATGAGGCTTCAAACAACCAAGTCATGACATGCAGAAAAAAAAAATGAATCGCTTTTGATGTTCTGCAGGCTAGTCAGCAGAGGCCTGAAGTTAAAGCACTTAGTGTTCTGCAGAACAAATAGGAGGTCAACTGGGGTTTCCATTGGATTGCTGTGGAGCCATTGAGTTCACACTGGAATTGAATTTGGGACAAATTATTGCGTAGATGTGACATGAGGCATCACTGAACTCCAGAGTTGATCTTCTTCGCCCTTGTGAGGTTTTTTAGCTTACTGCAGTACTGGTACAAGGGAGAATTGGGAACAGTTACAGATCTAGGAAGCCCTCGTCAAGGGCTTTAAACTTGATATATGACACAATGTGGTTTATTGCTTTTTGGTGTGTTTGTTGCAAATTTCAAAATAAAAGACCAAAATGAACATTTTGGGGACCAATTCAAACCGTTTCGACATTAAACTATTCAGCTCATTCCGATTCCCATGTTTTTTTTTTCAAAATTTCCTCATAAAAGCCCTGAATTAACATTTTAGGGGCAATGACCTTTCGTTGCGACACTTTTCGACTGCTTCAAGCCACTTAAATCTGTTCAACTCAATTCCTATTCAATTTCTTTTCCCCAAATTTCTCAACAAAAGCCCAAAAATTACATTTGGGGGATTTACCTCTAAGTTCCTCATTTTTTGACCAATTTCATCCATTCCATTTTGAAACTGTTCAGCTCATTTCTATTCCAAAATGTTCCAAAAGTACCGGTAATAGCCCAAAATGAACATTTCAGGGGAACTACTTCTAGTTTCCACACCTTTTTGACCAATTCAAGATTTCAAATGAAAAGACCCAAATGAAAATTTTGGTGGGAATTACTTATAATTTCCTAATTTATGGACCAATTCAATACTTTCGTTCTTTAATGTTCAGTGCATTCCCATTCCACCTTTTAATTTTCCAAATCCCCCCACATCCCTCCTTCTTGTACATGTCTGTGTGAAAAAAAAATGCCCCAGAGTCAATGGCACTTTTTCTTCAGGAAGAGAGAAGTTGGTGGCTCTAGTACCCTTTGATCTCGATGTATGCACGTGCCTGTCCCAAAGTGTCAAGACACTTTGCCAGTTAATGAGTAGCATGTGTTTTCACACTCTAGAAGAGTGGCATATATCAATTTGGTTTAGCCAAGGACAAGGACAGGAAATGGTCGTTGTCGAGGAGGAGCGGCTGCTATTTGCAGCAACGTGACAGCTCCCGTGGGAGACACCACATCCTCGATATGTGCACTCAATAATGGAATCTGGTGTCTATATATACTCTTGGTGCCTGTCACTTGACTTTTATTATAGCTCCTGGCCCTGATACATCAAAAGGCTGCCGCAAGAAGCCTGGTGCAAGTCTATCTATAGTGGTTAATTAGCTGTTTAATTGTTATTTTATTTTATTTTTTACTTTGACAGACTTCACAACATCGTTACAGAGCAAGAAGGTCCTCCTCAAGGGCTTTAATTTGCTATATTCCTTGATGTGGGTTGTGTCTGATGGATTGTTCTCCTTGACACAACCATATTATCCATTGTTTAGCTTGCTAACACATGGAGAAACTTTTGAGCTGACCTCCCTCAAAAATCTCAATGAAATACTTAAAACAATATAAAAACTCAATGATTATTATAGATTTGTAGAGATCAAATTAATTGAGATTTTTTTTTTAATCTGTTGTCATCTCCACACTACAGATAACAGAGAGGGCTACTGAGCACGACTACAGTACTGTGCAATCAGCGCCCTCTGCTGGATATTAGGCGTAAAACTTCTCAGTTTCCTCTTCCGCAAAGCGCTTTTCTGTTTGTGTCATTCCAATGCCCCAATCCAACATGGCAGCCATAGCAACCGCCCGTCAACATTCCTCGGTAACTATCACAGTTAAGTCGCCGATATACATGACTTCAATATATTATTTAACTTATTTTGTGGCAGTTAAGGTGTGCGTACAAAGCAGCAGAGGATGTTCATTTCGGTTTTTCTAGTTTGTAATTCTTAAAGGGTGCGTACAATGTAAGGAGTAATTTCTCAACCCGCCGGTTGGTTAACGTTAACGCTAAAAATTCAACCAGACTAAAATTTACCAGTTATTAACGATAGGCTTTTCAAAAACACTAGTGCATTATATTTATACTTTTAAAATTAAGTCATTGTTATACAGTACAGTACACACGTTTAAAACATTGTATGGTTGTCGTTAGTTGCTTTTGTTTTGATGTCGCTTATGTGACGTCATATTATTATTAGTAGTATTATTAGTATTATTATAGTGAGTTATATGTGTGTGTCTGTGTGTGTGCGTGCGTGCGTGCGTGTGTGAGAAACGACTGAAATAAAGCTTACTGAGATGCGCCTGCACATTATTGCATAAAGCAGGGGGATTCGGACCCTCCATCCTCCCCTGCTGACACAGGCTGTGTGGAACAGAGAGAGTCCAGACTGAAAGCCACGCAGTTTCTCAGGGAAGCCAAAACCACCAGGAGGCTGTAAGTTTAATGCTTTAGGATCCCAGCGCAATTTTTAACATTGAAAATTGTTTGGGGATGCTTTTCTAGACTATTTTTTCATATGTTATGTAGAATACGTTTTCTTTTCCCCATAGGAAATAGAAATACTCACAGGGCTGAAATCTGTACAGAGCAGCATGGAGAGAGTCACATGTAGCGCTTTACCATGTCATAATACTATTTTGGTATCTATGGTTGTCGTACTCTTCTTTGCATCACTGGTATCCTTCACAAAAAAGGCATTGAAAAAACAAAGTACAATTGTAGAGTTACACGCTCACTAAAACTGAAGTTACAGGAGATTTTTGTGTGTCTTTCGAGGAAAACAAAATGAACTATAAGTTCATTTGAAACTCTGGTTTAATTTATTTTTTTTAATGTCCTTTTATTCCCAGGGTTGACAAGTTGGAAAAAGACAGGTCGCTGATTTTCCAGTGGAAGAAAAATGGATGGACCGACATGGCAACAGAGCTGGACGAGTATGAGAAAGCACTGGTTGAACAGAGAAGTGCAGAAAGTGAGTCGCAGCATGTACATCTCGCCACTAACACACCCTCGGGGATGTGATTGTGTTTCTATTCATTCGATTTTGTTGCTTCGTCCTTCAGAAATGCAACTGCGGAACCAGCTGGCCAAGATTAAAGATGGTGTCAGACAGTTTCAGCAACAACTGATAGACATGAAACCAAGTACAGAATGTAAGTCACACCGTTTAACGGTTAAACGGTGTGACTCTGCTCATTAGAGGTTAAAGTTTAACCTCTAATGAGCAGAATGGAACCTCCAATGATGGACACAATCCTTTCTGCGATACAAAAATATTTATGGCCAACATTAAAGTACAGCAGCGAGGGAGAATGTTCATCAAAGTTTATTTGATAATATTGAAAGCCACAGTATGTTGTCTTGTTGTCTGTTTGAGAGGGAATAAATTTCATCTGTGCTGTATAGCACATTTGACAATAAAGTTGTACTTGACTTGATTTTACACTGTGCTTAAATGTCGGGGGAAAATGTACTTAAGCTGTTATTCAATTGAAATGTATTGCAAAAACAAATGTGATGAAAACGTTACTTACCGGTACATGACTGCAAAAAAAACAAACAAACAGTTCTTAAAAATTAAATTACTGGATTTAGGCAGTCTCACATACCACCAGAGGCACGCTCACATCAAACGTAAGAATTATTGGACTGTATGTTATTGATATTTATTTACCGGTAATGACATTGCTCACATTTTCCTGCATGGCAAATCACTATCTGAACATCCCAATAAGTTCCATTTCCTGTTCTACGAATATCATCACTTTTTGTCCTGAAATCAATTTGTGGCATAGAATACAAGCTATATTTATTTTCGTTTATTTTTTTTAAACTTGGACCAAAACAGTAACTGTTGTTTATTTTGCAGTGATTGAGAAGCTGAAGGAAATAATGGCTGAGGTGGAATGTTCAATCAACAATTTCAAGGAAAAGCAGCGCTTATGGTAAAAACACTTCAGTCCTTTTACGCACATGAAGTTTTTATGCCTAAAATGACAGACACTGAAAATATATGTACCGTTCATAATAAATTCAATTGTATTTCTCTTCTTAAAGCTTCGGAGAGTTGCTGAAGAAGGAGAGCATGTGCGCACAGGAGATGGAGGCCTATGAGAGGAAGGTCGAAAGTTGGAGTCAGTCCAGCAAGTCAGACTCGAAAGTCTCTCCCGTTTCATCTGTGAAGGTACAGGTCTCCCCCTCTTCCTCCTTCTCTTCTCTGTGGAATTTTGTTGAGCTCTGCTGTTGTCTTGACAGCAGAGCAAAGCCTTGGACCAAGACCTCCCCGCCGAGGTGCGAGCACTGGAAGCTTTCCTTCAAAGGACGGGAGGCGTCTGCGGCGGTTGGGAGGAATTTGATCACCAGGCCTTCCTCAAGGTACAGTACGTCCGCGAGACCACTTTTTGCTTGGTGCCTTTTTTCATAACTCAATTGCATCGCGCGGATCACGTATGAGTCATCGGCTTGATTGACAGGTGTGGACAAAGTGTGGTGGGCGGGCGGGCTTCAGGAAAGAGGCTAAACTGTATCTACCCAGTAAAAGTCAGGAGGAAATGGAGGAACATGAACGCTGGTACCAGGAGCTGATCCACCTGCAGGACGAGAGGAGAGAGGTTATGACTGAATGTGATACCAAACGGCAAAATGACCCCTTGTTCTAAAAGCAAATGTTTGTTATTGGTGGCAGAAATGAGCACATTATAATAATGGAGTCCCTCCATAATAATTTAAATAAATAAGTCATAACAATTAAAATCTATTTTTGACACTCCTAAATGTTGCAAAATTGATTCTGATTCTTAGTATGCTTATAATGTGTAGGCCATCCGAAGGTGGAAAAGCAGGAAGCAACTGGAACGCCAAAGGCACTTACACAAGCAGACGAAAGTGGTGGAAGCCGAGAAGAGGAAAAAAGACGCAAGGTGCCAGCAGAACAAGCAAGGGAGGAAAAGTCCAAACAGAAAAGCCAAATGCTTATGACAGATTGTTGTGTTGTACTTTCTACAAGTGAGGAGGAGAAGAAGTTGTTGGCTCAGCGACTGAAGGCGCGGAAAGAAGCCAAGAGAAGGAAAGAGGAGCAGGCGGAGAAGCAGAGACAAGCACGGGAGAGCCGCAAGAACAGAATGGCCAAGGTACGGAACGAGCACCAATTCCATGTTGAAGCATCATGCTGTGGAATGGATTCACTTGACCAGCAGGAGCGTTCTGGTCAGCGGGAGGCCAAGATGAGCCCCGGGGAGGAACTGCAAGTGGGGAGAGGAGAGGAAGAGGACCACAGGCGGACAAAGAGGAGAAAGCAGGCAACAAAAACCATCAAATACTTGATGCAAAGGGTACTGAACACAGTCTTGTCTTGACATCCTGGAATCATGGGATCTGTATTTGGAACAACCCAAATGCTACTTTGAGCAGGGAACCAGCGGCCATTTCAGTCTTTATAAAGGGAGGGCCTGACAAAATTTATGGGGAAAAAACATGTTAAATTATGTGCGTAAGTGGTGGGATACACTGGGGAACAATTTGAAAAAAAAATCTGAGTTAGATTTTTATGCACCCTGTAACCTAAGAAAATGAGAAGCTGTCCACTGTAGTAACCGCTGTCCTTGAAAGGGTTAAAAAAGGCAGGCTGATTCCAAAATTGGAGTCAAAAAGTTATTTTTCTAGACATGCCAACAGCCAAGTTGGCTTCCTGCACTTTTAGTTTTAAAACAAAGCTCTCTCTGTATGTCTAAAATTATTAAAATATGTTATTCATTTATTTATTTATTCAACAAGCATGCTTCATGTCATTTCAATAAAGTTGAAAGTTGGAGTTGGTATTTTCCTTTAATTGTGTTGCTAATATTTCCACTTTTATTGCACAATTAATACCAGCTCCAAAAAATGAGTTAGCCCTGTGATTGGCTGGCAACCGGTTCAGGGTGTCCCCCGCCTACTGCCCGGAGACGGCTGGGATAGGCTCCAGCACCCCCCGCGATCCTTGTGAGGATAAAGCGGATCAGAAAATGGATGGATGGATGGAATATGAGTTATTGGCTTCCCCGACTACTCATAATCTGTATCGGTATTGGCCCTGAAAGAAAAAAAACACCAAGTCTTTAATTAGTTAGCACATCTACAAATCTGAACTCCCGACTGCACTGTGTTGAGTGTGCGTGTTGTCCTCATGCTTACATTGCTCATAGGTGTGAATGTGAGTGTGAATAGTTGTTTGTCGTTAAAATACACATACTGGCTCCCAACCAGTCCACCGTCCCACCCAAGATTGGTCGCCAATGCAATTGCATTCTATTTTGTCTTATGAACTGCAGGATCTCGCGCGAGTGCACGCCAAGCGCCAGGAGAAGCTTCTGAGGCAAAAAGAGGACGAAGAGCGTCAGGAGAGGATCATGGCTAAGCTCAAGGAGAAAGTGAGCACTGTGGATAAAAACAAAAGTCTATATTCTGTGTTATTTTTTTCAAAATTTCGTTTTATTTCTGGTGCAGGTGGACGGTCACATAGTCAGAGACCCGTCGAGGTTGACACGGCCCACCAAGGGATGGGAGGAGCGCCTGAAGAGCACGAGACCATCAGGAGTAGGACATATATTTCACATGTCTCAGAGGTCGTTTGTAACACTTTGATTACGATGACTCATAATGATTACACTTCAGCACCTGCTTAATGGCATTTTTTAAAATCCAGTAATCCCTGAATATGTTTACGTTTTTCTTTAGAACAGTGGTTCTTAACCTTTTTAGAGGTACCAAACCCAACCAGTTGATATGTACAATCACTGAGCCCTTCATAAGTGAAAATAAATATTTTTTAATATAAATTCAAGACATTAAAAAACGTATTTATTAAAAACAGAAAAAAGTAAATACAATTTCAAGAGCCAAGTGTACTTTTTTTTTTGTAGGACGTACAATCACGACAGTCACACGTTGACTACTAAACGAACTAAATTTCACACAGCACTGATTGGATAACCAATGTCATGTGATCATCTGCAGCCAGTGATGGCCAAGCGGGCGTGTCATAACTTATTAACATGTTGAATCGCGTCTTACCCTCCATGGCAGAGGCTCCGTCGAACCCCTGAGACCAACTCACTGAACCCCTGAGGTTCGATCGAACCCAGGTTAAAAACCACTGCTTTAGAACCTACATTTTATTTATTTGTATCTTTTTCAGAGCTTTTCCCATCTGGAGACTGGAGCTCTGAAGACTTGAAGCATTCACACAGCTTTCACGATGATTATTCCTACTTGTATTCAGTCTTTATTCCAAAATGCTGCCTCGGTGTTTGTCTAATTGACCTCATTAAAGTGCATTTTTTTTGTCCCACTGCTGTATCAAATTACCCATTGCTGCTTCCATTTAATACTTAAAAAATGAGTCTCACCAGTGGTTTGCATGTCTGCGCGCAGCGCGGATCCGTATTTGGAACTGAGAATCACCGCTTGGAATTGAAGCGGATTTACATGGGATGAGAGAAGTTAACAAATCTCTTTTTTTTAATCAGTGGACTAAAGCTTTGTGTTTACTTTCAAACTTAGCTTGTAGTATACGTATGCGCATTTTGAGCATGACGTTTTTGATCCACCGGTGAAAGGATTCTCTTCTTTCATCTAGAACTGCTTCAAACAACAAACCATATGCATGAATAGTGGTTTACGATTGCATGACTGGCCGTGCCTTATGTTATGTCCATCCATCCAATTTCCGATCTGCTTTATCCTCACAAGGGAGCCTACCCCAGCCGTCTTCAGGCAGTAGGTGGGGGACCCCCTGAACCAGTTGCCAGCCAATGTTATGTGTTATGTTATATTAATTTTGTTATTTTATGTTAACTGTTCTGTAAAGCACGTTGTTACAGCTGCAGCTGGTGTGAAAGCGCTGTAAAAATAAAGATGTATTGGTTGTTTCTCTTTTTGTGCCCTCCAGTCAGATGGCTTGCAGTCCCGGTTGGACTCTTCCTCCCGCCTCCAGTTACTTGACAAAAACAGCAAAGAACTGACATAAGTTGAACAAAAAATGGACAAATATTGGTAAATAGTCCTGGCTAAAACTAAATTGAAAATTTAGGCGTAAGAACACAGTTTTATCGTAAACCAAAGACACCATGTACGGCCTCTTACAGGATACAATACAAAAACTTCACATCGTGGTACTCTTATTTTGAAAAATAATTCTCCCTCTTTGCGACGTTTGCTTTTATTTTAACAACAAAACCACACTGGAAGTTGTCCCCGTGTAACGGATATGAGGCTGTGAAACAAAGATGGCGGAAGAGGAGAGTCTGTCGGAGGAACTGGAGCAACTCGAGTTTCTACGAGACCGACACGTACGTTTCTTTCAGAGGACAATGCAGGTTTTGCCCGAGATGTATGCCTCTCTGGAGACCACTAGGTGAGTTCCGAGCAACGCTGTAGCTTTCACGCGACAGCCTTCTCTGTTAAAAAAAGGAACATCCTGCGCTATTTAGCCTGCATGCTAACATCAGCTAATGAAGTTATGACAGCAACAGGAACTTGTTACACCAATAATCCAACTGTCTTCAATTCCAGTTATATGTTTTATTACTACAAGACTAGAAAGTTACTTCAGCATTAATACATGGACATTTTTTCCCTGAGTTGTGCACGGTCTCCCCGTAGCAGAACATAACAAGCTGATAAACGATTATCAGGTAATAATTTTTGTCTCACCATATGATGCTTCCACACCGGGTCTTCAACTTGTCAATGTGACATGTATTTCCAGGTTGACGATCTTATTTTTCGCTCTGTCCGGCTTGGATGTGCTCGATGCTCTAGATGTCATTGACAGCAACGACATGATCGAGTGGATCTACTCATTGCAGGTTCTTCCAACGGAAGACCGTAAGTAGAACCCACTGCTCGGATGCTTTACACAACATCTTAATCACGATGCATTCATTTTCGAATTCTAATTTGGAGTAGGGTAGGAACGTTTTGGTTGTAACGTTCTAGTTACAGTCAGTAGATGGCAGCAGTGCTCTGGTGAGACCCAGATTTGCTGCTGAACCTTGGTTTCAGAAGACAGCGTTTGGGATGATTTATTCTAGTCTTAAATGTATAATATTTCACTGCTTGTCTTTCTCCAGAATCCAACCTCAGCCGTTGTGGTTTTCGAGGATCGTCACACATTGGAATTCCTTACAGCACCAAGGTAGCTTCTCTTACAATTGATGTGAACAATCTTAAAGTGGCAAGCAGAGATGAATGGGCTCCTGCAAACCCGTTTATTTTTTTCTTTAAGTTAATTTATTTTCAGAATTTTTCAAGTGAAAGGAACTCTCCTAGAATGGGCTGCTTCAAAGCAAAATGGCTGACATACTGTTCAAATTCTTGCATGGGTCCTTGAACCTTTTTAGTGTGTGCCCTGTTATGACAGACATGTGCAGCCAATTTCATATCAATGGTGTAACCTGTGAATTTTTTTCAAACTCTTCGGAGGTCGCTACTAGTATTAGGGAGGGGGCGGGGGGGGCAACCGCCGTTCCCGAAATGCTAGGATGTCTTTGTCTCTACCTCCAGCCATGCCTTGTTGCTTGATGTTTACACAGAACAGGGAACACATGATGGATTTTTTTTCTCCACCAAAAGTGTTAAAGCTACAAATAATGCCAACTGTTTTTTTATTACAGCGTCTTGTCACTTTACTGACTGTCATCTTTGTATTCAGGGTCATGGTGTGCGACATCCGTACGACAGTGGCCATGTTGCCATGACCTACACTGGACTCTGCTCCCTTCTCATACTGGGAGATGACCTTAGTCGGGTCAACAAGCAGGCATGCCTGGCTGGCCTCAGGGCCCTGCAGCTAGATGATGGCAGGTTGGCATGCACACGCATATATATTCATGCAATTAGGGATTATGGGCACTCCGCGTCCCCCCTTAAAATGCTCTACAAACTTTCCAAGAAGCCGTATGACCAAATTCACCACAGTTTAACGTCATGAGACCTTGATTTCATTGCCAACAAATGATTCACTGGTTTACTTTGGGCTCAGAGGTTAACACTTTAATGCCTGTATGATTTTTTTCTTCTGGGGGGAAAGCGGTGATGTTTATTTGAGTTAGTTGTTTTTTTTTTTTTTTTGTGTATGTTGCAAATGGCAATTAATGCAATCTACCACCCCTCCGTCTTGTTCCTTGTAGTTTCTATGCCGTGCCAGAAGGCAGCGAAAACGACATCCGTTTTATCTACTGTGCAGCCAGTATCTGTTACATGCTCGACGACTGGTCCGGCATGGATGTCCAAAAGGCCATCGAGTACATTCGAGGAAGCCTGGTGAGTAGATGAGCAGTCGCGTCCATAGTCCGATCAGTGAAAGGCGAAACGCCGTTAAGGCGCTGATTGTTTCCATTCACCACATCTAGATTTAAATTAGGCCACCTACCTTGGGTGGCACTCTGCCATGAAACACATCCGTTGATCATGAATGGAGGGTGTCACGGTGCTTAAACCCCTGCAGAGGTTTTTCTATTTCCCCAGTAAAGTACTATTGTGCAAGCTCTGTTTTTCAGTCAACCTTGGAGGTCGGGAAAATGTTTTTTGTCACTGAATGTTGTCTCTTCTGTCTTCCACTAATAGTCGTACGATAGCGGTTTTGGTCAGGGAGCCGGGCGAGAGTCACATGGTGAGTAAAAGCTTCACGCATAGTTTTTGCTTGACAATATCAGGGGGTTCATATTAGCCTTGTTGTGTTTTTTAAGCGACCCCAATTTACAATTCGCTTTTTTTTTTTTTGTGTGCAATATTACTTTCACCGGGGACAGGAGAACATTTCAAATAAGCTTGGGAACCACAATCTATATGGCAAACACTGACTTGTCATTTAGAATGAAAGTGTGTTGGACGTATAAAGTATCAACGTGACTCACGGCACTAGTAACTGGTTAATGGGATTATCAATTAATACCCGTCACTGTTGTCTTTATTAATCCCCTGCTCAAAATAAATCTTATTAGTACAGTGTGCAAATATTGCAACGACACAGACACAATCTGTTTATATTCATCTCTCATTAAAAGATAATGACAGATGTCTCTTACATGTCTTGCCTCTATGTCTTGGTGCATGCAGGCGGCTGGACGTACTGCGCCATCGCCTCCTTGTGTCTGATGGGTCGATTGGAGGGGGCGCTGAGTCGGCGGGAGTTGGACAGGATCCGCCGCTGGTGCATCATGAGGCAGCAAAGCGGCTTCCAGGGGCGCCCAAACAAGCCCGTTGACACCTGCTACTCTTTTTGGGTGGGCGCAACACTAGAGGTATGCACAAATGATTTTGAGGTTGTTTGATCCAAGCATTCAAATGTGCACAGGTGTTCATAGAACATATTTCCACACTTGAAATACAGGTACACATTTGGTTAGAAAATAAATGAATGAATGAATCCATATGTAACCAATTAATAAAACAAAACAAATAGAAAACCACACTCTTGTTTGTGCCTCTCACAAGTGATTATAGCGCATTTAAGGCCACTTCTGAGTGTTAGAATTAACAAAGATTATAATATAATGCTATAACAATGGTGGCTGTTTGTTTTTTTGTAATACTATGAAATAATAAAGACAATATAAAACAAAGATGACAAAAATTAAAACAAAGCACAATATTTGGGGAGAAAAAGATGGAAAAAACAAACAAACTAATGCAGAATATTTCCAGTACTTCAAGGTGCAATAAATGCACAGTCATAAAGAATAAAGCAAATGGATCTGAAAAACACATTTCTGGAGATGGCGCAATATAATAATGCCATAATGAGGGTGGTGAAGGCCATCATCGATTAATGGGAAGCGAACAAGCATTTAAAAAATGAGTACAATACACAGAACCCCCAAAATATTAGCAAGTCAGTTTCCATTTTTTTCCAATCCACACCCACTACTGAAAACGTACAATTAAAATGAAAAGGAAAAACACTTTTCTCCCTTCAAAAACGGCTGGCAAAGTAAAGGAGAAGGGAAATGAAGGCGTTTACAAAGTGATTTATTGGGCGAGTAAGATTTTTAGGGGGCGTTTCTGGAATGTGAATGACTTCTACGTTGCAGTGAGTACCTTTTCCTTTTCTGTGGTTGTCATGACACATTGCCATTACCCTTGTGTGCTCACAAACCATGCGTCGCTCCTGGTTTACGGTCAAAGTTTTGTTGGACTTATTTGGCTCTCGTTCCCGGAAAAAATGGTTGAACCAAATAGTCCCACTTTTGGAGGATCTGCCGAACATGTATGTGGGTCAGAACTACGCTGGCGGTTTACACAAAATCCAAAAATAAAAGAGATTTCGACTTAAAAGCGGCAATGAGTAAGCCATGGATGCATCGAGGCGCCATCAAGCCAATGTAGCTAATGTATGAAGATTTAGGTCACAACTATGCCAGAGGTGCAATGACTTTATTTGTATCGAAATGGCCAAAGTGTTAGGCGTCTTTTATGCTCTGAAAATGTTCTTCCTACTGATTATTCCATGTCTTGCTCTTCCAGCTATTAGATGTGTTCCAGTACACTAACTTTGACAAGAACCGGACCTTCATTCTGTCCACACAAGATGGATTGGTTGGTGGCTTTGCTAAGTGGCCCGAATGCTCTCCAGGTACGTGATTGCGCTGTAACATTATCTGCTATGGAAAAGCTCGAATCATTTTCTCCAAGTTCCCTTTTAAAACCACCTACTGTGATCCTATACTTTGATCAGCCCAGGCAGGCTTGTGTTTCTGTGTGTGTGTGTGTGTGTGTGTGTGTGTGTGTGTGTGTGTGTGTGTGTGTGTGTGTGTGTGTGTGTGTGTGTGTGTGTGTGTGTGTGTGTGAGTGAGTGAGCGCGCGCGCCCGCGCGCCCGCGCGTCCTTCAAACGTGTAATTGATGAAGCCAGAGATGGAACAGCTCACGTTACAAAGGCCAGTTGGGTCAAGCGGCTGCTGTATTCGCTAACCTCATTAATATCACCAAAGGCGATGGTTTAAGGGGATGCAAAAAGTTTAAGGGGCTTGTAATTTTGACTGCGCCACACAAAATGATTCAAGCAAATCTGAGGCGCACAGGAAAAAAAAAATTATGACTGTTTGACGGAAGCCGATTTGTCCAGCTTGTGATTGTTTTTTTGGGGAGGTGCAGGCGGGGTTATTGGTCAGAGATGACTCTAAATCCATTTATTTTGATGGTTCTATTGTATAGTATAATGAAGATTACAATTGATTTTGTACATTTTGTAAAAAATGGACAAATTCTAAATTGTCCAAACATTTTCACCTTGGTGATAATCACGGAATTAGTCAAACACGGGTGAATAGATTTACTTTCTTTTTTCATGTATCTTTATTTCACAGTAGTTCACTTATTTGAAACAGTTATTGATTTATTTTACAAAACGTCACTGTAAACAGTATCTGTATGGGTAGTAAAGTCATTATGATAGCCTGGAATGAATTCTTCCACTTTACATCACATGGCACGGTTTTATTTATGTGTTGTTTGATTGTGTAGTACCCTTGGTTGGTTTTATTGCTCCAGTGACAGTTGCAGGTCCAATGCACTCATCTTGTGGATTAGACGCTATAAATCCTGACTGATGCACTGGTTGATTCTGATGTAGCCTTCCAATCGTCTGTCATTTCATTATAATTCAATTACCAGTCCTTTTACAGGCCTGTGCGGCTTTTACTCAAATCCCAGAGGACCAGGGTCACACGGCTACCACTTGTGAATTATTCATTGCCCCTCAAAGGAGATGGGTCCCAACAAAAGGAGGCTCCTCCTGTTTGGGCGGCTACTGGGTGTTTCGATGGTTGTTTAATTGAGTAAATGCAGAGTAGGGTGACTCAACTCAATTATCAACTCAACTGTATTTATAGAGCACTTTAAAGCAAACACCGCTGTACATGGAGCAAAAATAATTTATACAACAACAAACAAATGAATGACAAATACTGTAGAAAGCACAAAAACAGTAAAACAAAAAATCAAGTCTCATGCTGAGTCAAAAGCCAAAGAATAAAAATGAGTTTTAAGACAAGTTTTAAAGATGGCCAGTGAAGGGGCTTGCTGAACGTTCAGTGGGAGGTCATTCCAAGGAGAGGGACCAGCAACGGAAAAGGCTTTATCCCCTCCGAGCCTCCGCTTAGTTCTTGGTACCTCGAATCATGTCTGGTCCTCAGACCTGACGCACCGGGCAGATGCGTGGAGGCGGAGGAGCCCAGAGAGCTAAGGTGGTGTGAAGCCATTTAAAGAATTGAAAACAAATCAAAGGATCTTAAAAAGAACTCGGGAGCTGGTGAAGGGATCTTCACCAGCTCCCGCCAGAGTACGAGTTATAATGCTCCCTCCTCCGAGTACCATTCAAGAGGAGAGCAGCAGCATTCTGGACCAACTGGAGACGCTTAATGGAGGATTGCATTACAGTAATCCAGCAGAGATGTGACGAAGGCACTACTGTTTCAAAGTGTTCTTGAGAAACGAGAGGCTTTACTTTAGCCAGCTGCCTGAGATGAAAGAAGCTGGAATTACCAACGGTGATTTGGTGCTCGACTGCAGAAGAGCCCACATTTCAAATTAATAAATACATACTAAAAATCATAAGTAGATATTACTAAGGTTCAGGTTAATGTAATGGTGGTTGCCAAAGTTGTGATCAGGATGAAAATTCGATTAATTGTGCTGCCCCACACCAAAGTGGTCCCAGTGTCGAGGCCCAAACGAACAGGGTTCTTTGTGTTTTGATCACTGAAAGAAAAGCTGCTTGTGAGAAACCCTGCTTATCTCCATTGGCATTGATGCTGAATTCCTCGAGCTGTTCTTATTAGAATCAACAGGGAACTGGCTCTAGTACCAGAACTAGTTTAGCTCTGTTAAACAATTTGTTCTACTGACATGACATAAGCAGGCGTCTCCACTTAGTTACAGTACGCTGACCTCGTTTCTCTCCGCTTTCATCCCTCTCTTTCTTCCACACGTAGACCCACTGCACGCTTACTTGGGCCTGTGCGGTCTGTCTCTGATCGGAGAGCCCAGCCTGAGGAAAGTCCACCCGGCGCTCAACATCACCCAGCGGGCCTTCGAGCACCTCCGCCAGCTGCAGCAGACATGGAGGGGACAATAGCGACAACTGTGGCTGACAGGAGCATCCGGCAGGTCAAATCCGAGACAAATGGAACCTCCTTTTATTTGAGGACTGACGAGTGTTCGGCTCCTTAGCAACTTTGCAAAGAGGCCTTGCTGTTGAGTGACCGTTGAGCTGCCTTCTGGTCAACAGACTGCGGTCAGTGTTAAGTGTGAAGAACAATATGTGCCAGAAATCATGAAAGATCGGAAGACACTTCAGGGGCCAAACTTTCTCACATTGTTAAGATCGAGTAAAGGAGAAAAGTCTGGTATGGTTTCTTGCCAAGCAGGAGCAGTTTTTCCGTTATTCACCACGCAGGATCAGTATCATTTAGAATGGACCTGAAACGTTATAGAAACAGCTTGAGTAGAGCATTTGAAGATCATCAAAGAACACCAAGTCATCATCTTTTTCCACAAGAGCAGTTATCCTCATCCAGTAACACCCTTACGAGACTCCTGGGGTCTCTTCAAAGCTCACTACTTTGCTTCTAGCCCACCAGTTTTGATCCCCCGAGTCTGAACCCTTCAAACTCCCACTGGCTCCTGTCCCTCATGCTCCCTTAGGCTAAGTTTACCGATGTGCAGGATTGATCAGGTGTAGCATCATAGCAGCAGTATACCCGGTGGAATTGAGGCCAAGAACCACCTGCAGGGGGCCAGTCTTTGACTTTTGAAAACAAGGTGGAAACAAAGAACTTGGGCAAGTAACAATAAAATGGAACCTATTGTAGATAATGTTTAATGCTTCTGTTTGAACTCAACTAGGACTCATGAACTAAGTGCTGACCAGGCCTTGGAGGCAGTTACTATTCCACACAACTGCTTGCTTGATGCTGGAAGATATGCATGTTGGCTCAAAATCCTGCTCAATTTGCTGCTGTTCTGATCAGTGTTACTGATAATTTCTGCAAACAACTTGCCCCCACATTTTTTGGGGCAAATTGTTAACAGAAATTAGCATTTTCAAATCCCTAAAATCCTGAATCACTTGACTACTTATACCTGGTGCACCTCCTCATGATTGAACCACTTTGAAGACCTTGCATCGTACCTACTTTGTTTGCCAAACCAGGGAGCACGTAACAATAAAATGGAACCTATTGTAGATAATGTTTAATGCTTCTGTTTGAACTCAACTAGGACTCATGAACTAAGTGCTGACCAGGCCTTGGAGGCAGTTACTATTCCACACAACTGCTTGCTTGATGCTGGAAGATATGCATGTTGGCTCAAAATCCTGCTCAATTTGCTGCTGTTCTGATCAGTGTTACTGATAATTTCTGCAAACAACTTGCCCCCACATTTTTTGGGGCAAATTGTTAACAGAAATTAGCATTTTCAAATCCCTAAAATCCTGAATCACTTGACTACTTATACCTGGTGCACCTCCTCATGATTGAACCACTTTGAAGACCTTGCATCGTACCTACTTTGTTTGCCAAACCAGGGAGCACTAGGTACTAATTTGAGGACTTAATCAGCCTAGCTTCCAAGCAGATGCCATACGATTTGATGAAAACCATTGGTTACTCATTAGTCGAACAGATTCAGAACTATCATTTGTAATGCTTGGGGCTATATGGCTAGAAATGACCAAAAATAAATATACATGCCAACGTTAGCTTACGTTGTTGCTGTGCCTTAGCTCTGGAAGCTGTCGTAATACTCCACAGTCTCCACTTTGCTGCAATGGCCCTTCTGGAATAAAAGTCCCCCCTGTCATAGAGTAAATACACATGGCCCTCATTCTGATCTCTTATTAGCTTGTCCCTTTCTGACTGATGCATTCAGTGCAGCGTGGTTGTCATAGATTGCCTCGAAGTGGAAAACTCTCCGCCACAAGTGGCGGTGGGTAGAGACAAGCCGGTACTGTGCAGTGGAAAAGCATCAGAAATCTCCAGTCTTAGCTTTTTCAACACAGGAGTCCCACAGGGCTCATTCCTAGAACCCTTGATGTAATCATGTGCTGTCTACCCCCACTTCCATATGTTGTTTGTTTTATAAAGTAGCAAGCTGCCTATGTCCATCTGTTGCCAGCTTTCTGCTGAACAATTTTGCCAAGTGAATCAGAGACACTGCAAGATGGAGTATACTGACATGCTGTGAATGAAGCCATACTGACCAGTTTTGCCAAACTGTGGTCAACTTAACTTCGACTTGCTAAATCCTCACCAACAAGGGACTGTTGGATGATTTCTCAGCTTCTTCTGGAGCAGGCTTTGTGAAGGAGGAGAGTGGAGCGGGATGAATAAGTAATTGGATGCATCCATTATTCACGGATACTGGGGGGCAAGTGCCTCACTGCTCAACCAGACTCATTTTATAGCCTTATGATTGGGCGAATGATAACAATGGCCTTCTTTAAAAAAAACGGAGATCCCACAAAATAAGTCTTAATATTTGTCCGCTTAAAAATGCCGCGAAGGTGTGATATTACTGCAAATGTGTGGGGTATTATAACACAGTCAGATACCTAATCTTTATTGTACTATGGCACATAGTTTACAATTAAAAGAAATCTCACTGCACACCACCAAATCAAAATGTAACAAACTGTGCATACACTGGTTAATTCTTTAGTGGCACCATTTAATTGACCTGACTGTCCCTTTACATTACTGGAGTAGGTATGTGAACTAAGATACGAGATACTGTATGTGATGAACACATAATTTGAGAACAGATTACCGGTAAATGAAATTGGATAATTTCACAGAGCACATTGGTTAGGAATCATTGTTTTATTGTCGTTGGGATTGTGGAATCCTTCAGACACATGCGGTTAACGGCTCTGATACTTGTTTTCAACATCAAATGTTGACGGAATGATGTAGTCCCTTTATACCATGTTAGTGTCCTTTTTGTTGTTGTTTGAGAATAGCGTTATGAGGGAGAAAAGAAGTTGGAAATTCAAATGAATAAAGTTTTGCGTGTAGTAAGAGCTTGAGCTGTGTAGTAAGAGCTTGAGCTGCCCCTGGTTCAAATGACCTTAACACACGTGGGTTTACGGCTCTAATGCTACCTCTGAAGGCAGAAAATTGATGGGAGGACTTGGGCCCAGAATTCTGTGTCGGTGATTTTCAAACAGAACGGTGACCCCTGAAAGAAGGCCGAAAAATACCGTCTTTGCTGGCTATGTCAAACAGGCTAAATGATCCATTATTGCATTAACAGTTTTTGCCTTAGACCTCAAGCCTTTTCTTTCATATTCTTCTGAAAATAAGTTTCTCATCAGCAAGTTTCTCAAATACAACAATGTTGTAAAAATCTCAACAAATAGATTTTGTGTGCGCACCCGTGTGTGTGTGTGTGTGTGTGTG